CAACTAATTTATGAGTTCTCTGAAATAACCAACTACCTGATGATACCTGCAGCTCTCATATGGCTTCTATAATAGGTCTGGTAACTAAACCAGCACCCAAGCACTTTAACCACTGTGCCACCAGGACTCCTTTATTGATATAGCATTATTTAATTAACAAAATGATACAGATGATGAAGAAATTAATGGTTGTCAGCAGTTTGGGATGACAGTAGGTGGCGTGTATGTGAGTATAAAGATATAGCATGAGGGAAATCTTTATGGTGATGGGATAGTTCTGTACCTTGATGTGGTGGTGGTTACCTGAATTTACACACATGACAATATGACATATAATACAACATACAATACAGAATGAACTGAAAGTGTGGCATGCTATCTTCTAACTAAATTACTTAAAATATTAAAATCCCCTCATGTAAAAACAACTGTTTAAAATTTCATGATGATTCTATGCAACAACTAAGTTACGAATTCTCTGAAATAATCAACTGACCTGATACTTGCAGCTCCCAGACAGCCTCCTGGTAATAAGTCTGGGAACTGAACCAGCACCCATACACGCCAGCATCCAAAGAAGTGACCATCTCCAGCGTCAACGAGACATGACCCTTAGTAATGAAGTCCTTCATGAGCTCTGTTCTCCCACGATAGGCTGGCATTTGCATATGTTTCTGGTCTTTCCCATTCATGTAGATGTGGACCACATCAGAGAACTGATTCTTGAAAAATCGCACTTCCATACCCTCTGCATTTGTCTCAGGAGAGAGGAAGCAAGAGAACTTTACATTCTCCCCCACTAAGGCCTGGACAGGTTTGGTTGGTCCAATCACATCCCATTGTCCTATAGGAGAAAACAGAACAGAAAACAGCAATAACTATTTCAGTTTGATTTATTCAATGTTAGAATGTGTGAGAGTAAAATGTTCAAAATAATCTTTTTCTAAGCCCAGTGACTTGCATCATTATATCCCTTAATACTTAAGAAAGCATTTCCACATCAGCTACTTCATTTAGTCCTTACAAAAATTTCAACAGGTGTGTTTTATTAATATTCCCATCTTCAAGAAAAGAAAAGTCGGTTATTCACAGGTTAGAGAGATATTCTCCAAATGAAGACACTATGACTAGAGTAGAATCTATACCCATTCACAGCAGTCTCCCTTTCACCTTTTTGCTTAAACCAAAAGACAACTCAGCCTGACCCAGAAGATATGTGACCCATAATACAGGTTCCAACAATGTCCATTTCACTGCTTCATAGAACTGAAGAACCCAAGAATATTCCCAGGGATCCATCCAATTTTACCAGCACCAAACTTGGGACTTTTACACCAGGCCATTCCAATACCAAAAAGTTCTTCCTTGGGCTGAAACAAAATTTTTTCATTATGGTTTTCTCTTCTTGTTAATTCTGACTCTTTCTTGATGCTAATAGTTCACTGTGGTGGTTAGTTTGGGACTCTGGGTCTAAATGGCTAAGTGTGCCAATACTAGCCAAAATGTTGGTGGTTGTAATGGAACAGGGATATGATGAAAGGGAAACAGACACCCCATTTTCACCCCTATGCCACGGCAGGGGAAAAAAGAGGAGTGAGCCTCCCCCACAGAAACATGCTACTGGCTAAGTGACAAGACAGACAGATAAGAAAGGAGCCAGTGGTCCCAGGTGGAGCAAGTCCATTAACAGCCACAGGTGTAGTAACAAAGAAAACAAGATACGGAGATCCAGAATAGAGAGCCTATGAGGTATGAGAAAGTCAGAGGTGGACATTTTAATAAATACCCCTAGACAGCCATGTTCCACTTCTATCTCGCTAGCTTTCAAAGACAGACCAGATGGCTTATCCATTAAATTCTTTCCATTAAACTCTTTCCCTTGCACTTCTGTTGTCTTGCTGGTGTCTTGTGTCCTGACACTCACCAGAATCTATGACTCCTTGCTAGAAGTACTGGAGAATCTCCGTAAGTTATTCGGTAACAGCTGGAACTCACCCAGAGACACACAACTCAGAAGACAGGCCTGAGGAATCTGCTGTTCAAAAGTTACGGTCTTCAAAACCATATGCAGCAGTTCTTACTCTGCACACATGGGGTCACCTGAGTAAGAATTGACTCAAGAGTTCCGACAGAGAACGCGGTGAGAAAAGGTGTGTGTCCGAAGTCTTCTGGCCCCTTGCAGGCCTCCGGGCCCTCCAGGCCCTCCGGCCTTGAGCTGGTGGGTAAACGAGCGGGGGGGGCGGGGGAGCTCATCTAGGTTTGGCCTTCAGACAAGGACGAACCCTCACTCCTCCGTGACCTGATGGCGGCCGCCTCTCAGAGCCTGCACCCCGCTGGCCATCTAGTCTCCGGGCCCCACCCTGCCAGACCGCAGCTAAGCTGCCGCCAAGTCTCCGAGGACGTGGTGCCTCCGGATGGCGGGCGTGGCAGAGATAGAATAGCGGCCATCCGATCGCAGCTGAGGGCCGTTAGGGCCTCGTAGGCCCGAGAAAGCGTGCCTAAGTGGACACAAACTCAGTTACTTCTTCAGACCATGGAATCAGAAGGTTCGTGAAGCCGGGACGTGGGGTGACTGCTCAGTCCCAATTGGACGAGATGCCTCCTCGTCCTGAATAAAGGCCTTAATGGGCCTAGAAG